AAGAGCAAGCTCGGGGATGATCATCCTGACACATTTTCATCCGAAAGACTTCTTGCTTACCTCTATCAAAAAAGTAAGGAGCCATCGCCAACGTCTGAGGTGTCACACCCACCACCGCATTCCAAACTTGCATTCCTGTCACGATTTCGCCAAAAGCGAGATAAGTAGTGCAGTTAAGATAGTGATATCTTTCCATTCCATCTATCCACGGGCAAACCTCCACTCTGTAGTCAGCCCGCGGTCTGTTGACTATTCTCAATGTCGGTAAAATGGCGGCCTAAACCTGCTGCGGCGAGCCGACCGCAGCCATCCCTCGCCGCTTTGACGGAGCCTATATGTTGGACCTGCGCCCGCCTTCCCGGGCTGGTCGAAGTCATTTCCTCTCGTTATTCTGTTGCTATTACACGACGCGGTATCAATAAGACCGTTCTCGCTTTCTCCCACATCTCCTTCCCCTAGGGCTCCGCTCTGCCACCTAATAGCAAAAATCTCGCAAGCACGCTGTCACGCCGATCTAGGTGGACTGAGACCTTCCTGACGTCGATAACCAGAACCGATTCCCATCACTGGCCAGCCCGTGCTTATCCTTGATTCCCCCAATACTCGCGTCCAGAACGAGTCTATGGGGACCGTTCGAGCCCATTTCCTGGCACCTCCTGACGAGAGACGGAAGCGCGCGCGAACTCCAAGAGTAAACGAGGTATACTCGGCAGAATTGGCCTACGTCGAATTCTGCGTTACTACAATCGATAGCACGGACGCGGCTTACGGGCTGATGACACATCGACCTAGGCTTACGTCCAAGAAAGAGAGGATAAAAGAGGTGTGTCGGCAGCACAAGTCGGAGGAAGAGGGAAGGATAGGGCAACCAAGGAGTTTTCTCGTTGACTGTCATTAACTACTCGGCTTAGGCAGCTTTCAATTCCCACCACGCTGGGTCTTAAGCAGAGTTAGACCGTGAGAGAAAAGAGGCAAGAAATGGAAAGAGCTACGGCTGGATGCAGTATAGCTAGCAAGCAGCGAGACAGCTTCACGCCGGAATCAGGAGTTGTGGTCGATAAGAACAGCGCAAGTGATTTTGTGCAAGTATATTGCTTTTTGCATCCAGTGTTGCGCTGATCTCCTGGATCATTGTGTACCATGTAGCCCGAGCCAACTAATTCCTTTTAAGTCTTCGACAGACCGTGTCTTTGGCCATCGCTCAGGGTCTATCTTCGCTGGGTTGCAACCGCCACTTTGGCTGGCATTGCACGGTCATCATTCTCCACCAGCTTATGATGTACCGTGACTTGGTGGTAGACTGCCTGAGCAGTTCAATCCTCTCGACAGCCTCACGTATAGACTTAAATTTCCCATGCCAACAATCAAGCATTATGGCTCCCATGGGCAGATCGGCCACATCCGGAAATTGATTGCTTTCGTATAGACGCTCGACGCGCTCTTGTGCGTTTTTCATTCCCTTTAACTCATAATGTGGGGGGTTGCCGGTCACAATTTCGTAGATTGCACAGCCCAGGGCAAAGATATCGGTCTGCACCGTGGCGCGGGGCGTTGATGGCTTGTAGCTAAACCACTTATACGAGGAAGTCGGCCCTTTCCCATCAATGCTGCAGCCTTCGAAGTCGATGAGTTTTAAATCACCGTGAGCGATGATCATATTTCGACATCCCACATCAGCCTGGATAATATTGTAGTTATGTAGGTATTGTAACCCCGTAGCCGCCTGTTTAATTCAGCGATATTTTGTGCGTAAAGGAATAGAACGAGCACTCGTTTACTTAGAGAGTCGATCTCGAAGTACTTGTCCGCGCTCGAGGATAATAGAACTATTATCTAGAGCGCCTAGAAATTTCGCAATATTAGGATAGCAGCCTAGGCGTTCATAAACTTCTCGTTCGGCACGAATCTCGGCATTATTGTCGCTCTTATATCTTTTCACCACTCGTCGCGTATCGAGGGCGTATATATTGCCTGATTTTCTAACGTCGATACGATCTAGTCGCTCGATAGTAGAAGTTGACGGAAGGCTACGATTATTCACGTATGTCTTCAGTAGCGTGAATGTATAGTACATGATGAGATGGAAAAACAAGAGAGATTCGGGAGCGGTCGTTTATTTACAGGCCTACTTTAGACCAATGATGTTTTATCCCTGATATTACGTGGCTCAAATGACAGATTACATTTAACGTTGACTTTGAATGATACAGTAGCTAAACTCCACCGTTTGCGTCCTAAACGTATTGAACAGCCATTCTCGAGCTGCAACGAGACGATTCTCCCTGGATGTTCAATTACTGGCGGTCCTTCTCTGGAGTTGATGTCTCGAAGGAGTGATTGGCTATCCAGTAACATCAACCTATTGAGGGCGTGAGCTGATAGTATTCGACGAGGCGTAGACAAACCCACGACGTCTTGCTTCGCAATTACCACTGACACTGCTGAATCGCGGCAATACGAGCATCGACTTCTTAGCTAGTAAGAAAGAATCACATCACGTGATTCATCATGCACGAACGCGCTTCCTTCGCAGCGTTTTCCTTTAGCCCTTAAGGCGGGATATCTTTTACATAGCAGCTTCCGCTCCTTGTGCTTGTCTGGGCGTTGGAGGCACTCGTCATATTCCTTGTCTGCGATGCCAAAGGTACACATGATTTCGAGCGCGGGTAGTAGAGAGTAAATATAGACGCCGAAACGAAAAAGGTGTTTGCTATAATCTCTCAAAGGATTCACCCCCTAGCTATTTATCCTTGAAAAGTGCCTTGGGGGAGTAGTTCCATGTTTTGACTCTGGAAAGATATCTAGGCATTTTGCAATTCCCTACTCGTGAACCACATTCCTCGAGACCTAATGTCAAGGACCCAACCCAGAAGAGGGAAATCTGACCCCCCGGGGACCATCCGGAAAAGGAAGGTATGACGGACCAAGGAAAGAAGGGACACGGGGTGCACGTGATCATGCTAAATGATCAGTCGTGCTCAGTGGAGCTCGGACTGAGCAGCACTGGGCAGCCCTGCGTGGTCATGCAAGGTGATCAGTCGTGATCGGTAGTGATCAGGCTGAGCATCACTGAGCAGGACGAAGCATCATGAATCTCCTACGTCTATATAGTTGTGGGCTTCACCCACCTTTCATAGTTCTCCTTTCGTAGTCAACTTCGTTCACAAACTAGGTGATACACTTCATCAATAGTTTTCGTTCTGAATACAGACACCCTTGCTCTAGCATACGCATCGAAACATCTTCTTCCGCTTATCAGTACCTTCACTCGAACACGTGACTCCTTGAGGAACCATTCGTGACACCTAACATCGATGGATCCAATCCTCGAAGTATTGGATCGTGTCAGTCAGACACGAAATGCAACACGGTAGAGGCCATCGGATGCACCCCTCATATTAGTTTATTGCAGGATGCAGTGGATTACCTTATTCCTATTAGTACGGATACATAAACCATTATCGCGGCGTACTTCTGCTTGGCTCTACGCGGTCGCTGACTATCCCGGCGACCGTAGAGAGCGTATAGAAGACGGACGATCTAAGCACTATTTTAAATCTGGTCGTCATAGGAGGGTGTCTCGTAGGGGGCTGGGAAGAGCAGCCTCGCGAGCTCCTGACGCTCGGAAAATGCAAATGTAGCAGGAGTAGGACCAACAGCCTCCTCTTGTCCGGTGTATTGATTCTCCAAACAGGTCGAACCCAACGTCTGGAAATATTCGGCTCTGACCGATTGTAGTTCGTCGGTCTCTTCTTTCGTCAATATCTTCTTGTAAGTGCGGAATAGCTTATCATGCTCAGAAAGTCGAGTTCGTAATTCGGGAGTCCCCTAGGCTAGCTTTCTCGCCTTAGAGAGAGTAACAAAATCGCGCCGAATTGCCTTTATACTTTGGAGCCATCCTTCTCTAGCTGCCTAGATCTCTGGTTTCGAGTTAAGCTGGCGTCGTTGAGCCGAGGTCAGGCTGGTAGGCGCATTCGGGTCGCGCGTAGAGAAACGTGGCCAAGGAGCCGCATGGAGCGTTCGTCCGAAGGTTTCTCTAGAATAGCAGCAACGATGTCGACGTCCACTACATCATTCTGGTAGTGACGCTGGTAGATTCCATCATGGGTATGGCCTATAACCTGATTACGTACACTAGAAGGGGTAGTTTCTGATATGGTTAATCTTATACGTAGAAAGAAGGGACGGAAGCGGTCTTACTGTTTATAGCGGCTGCGGCGGTACGACGAAGCATCTTGAATTCAAACGGCTCTTTCATTCCAAATGCCCGTCCGAGTCGTCGGTTCCAGGTGGCTATCTAATTGTATTGACTTGCTTGATTAGGAGACGTTGCAATCTTACCTATCGAGTTTCGGACGCTTCGGCGAAGGACAGGAGCAAATCTCCAGTCTAGTGCCCATTCGATCGGGATAGATTCAAGGTGACTGGGGATTTTGATGTTCCATAAATCCATTGGATCACGGATCCAAGGGCTTGCGAAGGCTGAATCGCGGAATGTATAACCAAGGATGAATTTGACGAGGCAGAAGCATAGTGTGTCACGACGTTCGGTAAACTTAATCACAGGCCTGACCTAGTTAGCAGATATTGTTCAGGGCCTACGTAATATGCATAGTGACTGAGGTGAGAACTCACGGATTACCTCTATTTCGTTTCCCTTTAAGGAGACGAAGCCGAATATGCATACCCAATTTCACGCCTCGGGGCGGGTGGTCCGGGTCACGCATAGCGTACAGCTGGATGTCTCTATATTGTACGGCATCATTGCGACCATAGTAGCAACTAGATTCCACCACAGTCTCCGCGCGTACGGTCGTAGAGCCACAAAATATAGTAAGCGTCCAATGCTGAATTCGGTCTCGCTCGAGAGGATAGGGATTATCGTTAATAACCTAAAAGAAATGGGCAAGACTAAAGATGTCGTCGGAATCCATATTCTGTCGGAACCGACCCTCCTTACTAAGTTCATACTCGTTAATAAGCTTATCTATAATAAACTGATTCGTAAATATCAAGTTAGTATATAACGCTTATCGGGGAGTCCAGGACTTATACATTCTTCATATCTATCTTGATAATATAATCAACCGGATTAGACGTGTGCTGAAGTACGGCCATCCTCTATATTCTGGCAAAGATAAAAAGTGACGAGGCTTTCGTACGAGAGGACTGCTCGCAGTTATATTCAAGAAAGGCTCTAGTGACTTGGTAGGTTAAGTGTTTTCGGCATACTTCGACAGGATCAGAGGAGGAGAAGTGCCCGGTCTCGCGGTAAACGTGTTCACAGAATCTATAGGGAAATCAGTTAGCTAAGGTAAGGCTAATGTGATACACTTGCTGCGGTAGAAGGAAAGCCTGACCTAGTCCAACGTCTCCATGTAGATGCAATGCCGTTTAGGGTGCTGTCCTCATACGCCGGCGGGCAGATGTCAGTTCCAGAGTCCAGATGGCCGACCACCGCGGCGAACGATTTCTTCGGCCTTGAGTTTTTCCTTGAGCTTCGTGCTGCGCAGCGGCTGCGGGTGATTGCCATAGTAGAGAGTTAAACGAGCGCCGTCGCAGAGGGCTAGAGATTAGGTGAAGATAGAGGGACATGATGAACAGAGGGTAAATCGTCGAAGGATAGGGAACGGCTTTATATAATAAATGGAAAGATAGGAGAAACTCGGTCGAGGGATGTAGCTGGCATAGTGCGAGGGGCAAGCGGAGGTGTATAGAAAAAAACATTGACATTACGACGAAACCACAGGGCTACGTGAGATCGGGGTGTTGAAGGGCCACGCGTGCGGGTGTAGAGGAGGCCAAAAGCGGCGCCTACGACCGCTGTTTTCGGCGGCCATTTCACCGACATGTTGAGATACTCCGTACTCTGTAGGCTCTCAACACTAGTACTGACCCCATTCCTTACTGCGGACGAAGTACCCCGTACAGAGAGAGTACTTGACTCTGTCTTAAGGTATTCAATACGGCAAAGGAGAAACTCGCCATCGACAACCGGTACATTCCTTTTAGTAGGATCATTGGCGGAGGAGTGCGGATCGAGAGTCGTCGGCTATACGTTTGGTGAAACAGGTAGTCTGAAGCTCGAGAAGTGCAGTGTCGGGTATAGACCTCATTGTAAACGGAGCACGGGGACAAGGTTAGCAAGTGAGCAGCTGGAGGTGTCTGGTCAGTCAGTATTGTTATTGTAAGGGTTGTGGGAGTTTGGAGGAGCATGCCCAATGTAAAATGGTCAAGACCCGCGACTCGGCCAGGCACGCACGTCACACAGTCGCACACGCGTCGCGGTCCCCGAATTTCAGAGAGCCGCATCCCGCCCACGCACTGTGACGCGGAACAACAACTTACATAGTTCCATACACTTGTTCTCGAAACATGCCTGCCGTCTTGCTGCTTCTATCCCAAAGGCGCCTTTTTGCATTTGCACTCGTCTGAGCAATTGTCTACCCCGACCATTGGCGATCCCCTTGTCATGCCACCAAGCCCCTCGTGTCTGCGGCGGCCGAGTCTATGGCTGATTCACGGTTGACTCGCGTCAGCGGTACCTTGACCTCCCTCTTCGAAAGCCTTGTGCCACCTTCCACCCTCGATCAAGACGATACCGACACAGAATCTCGCATTGACCGCGCCATCCAAAATGCAAAAGCCACCATCTACCAGGCGGACGGCCGGCTGCCGCCAGATACAAATCAAGCCCAAGACCTGATCAAGAGAAAGTTGTTACGAGAGAACGCATCTCCAGAGAAAGCCGCCCGGTTCAGCAATCTCTACTCGCGACTCCTTGCCATTCCAATCCTAAATCAGAAATGGGCGATCCTCTACCTACTCTACAAGTTGTCGGAGCCGGCCCTCCCAGAGCTGCGCCCACGCAACCCGTTGACAGATTCAGACCAATTCGCAAACATTCCGCGTCGGCAGGAACCATCTCTAGATAAGTCGCTTACTTCTGAAGATCAAGAAGACGGCCGCGTGTACCCACCCCAGGCTCCGCACAATCGGATTCATGGGTTTCCGTCCAAAGTAAGGCCTGAACAGATTCATCGAGATGGAGTCTCCCAGGGAGAGGAAGAGGAGAACGAAAGTGCCGTCAAGGCTCCGGAGCAGGTTGCTACAGAGCCAATCCGACCAAAACAACAGCCCCCAGCCCCTGGACCTTCTGAGTGGGATCTGCTACGAGATCTTCCATTCAACCTGCAGGGGGTATCTTCTGCACATCTTGAGTTCACCGCTACTACCACTGTTAAACTTCCCCCAACTCTCCCGGTGCCTATGCTGTCTGTGCTTCATGCACTTTCTGAACCCTGCTTGCTCTATCGAGGTCTAGCGGATTACGCTGAAGCTCAAGACGGCGGTCTTATCGATCAAAGCCTGCGTTCTGCTATCAATGACGAGTTACGGTCGTATTTGAACCTGGTCGCTTCTTTGGAAAGTGAAATCAGACAGGCCCTGGCTGTCCTCGACTGTACCCACGATCCAAAAGCTACCCGTACGACTGGCGTCACCCTTAAACGGTGTCTTATTTGGACCAGAGATGCCACAATGGGGTTGCGGCTGATGAAGTTAATCGTGGAGGAGTCAAAGCAGAAGCGAGGTGGCCAAATGATCTCTCTCATTCACGGCCTGTCATCCTCACATGGCGATCCGTTCGTGGCCTCCTTTGCCGAAAGGCTCCTCACTCGTATCGCACGACCTTTCTACGAGATGTTGAGGCACTGGATTTACGATGGTGAACTGATCGATCCCTTTCATGAATTCTTCATCACAGAACCAGACCCCAACTCTCAACCGGCGATAGACCATCGGCATGTGGCGACATCTGTCTGGGAGGAAAAATACAAGATTGACTCCAGTCTAGTCCCCTCCATCATCTCCTCAGAGTTTGCCCGGAAGGTTTTCCTCATTGGTAAGTCTCTTAACTTCATCCGCCATAACTGCGGCGACTCCGACTGGGTCATACAATATTCGAAGTCGAACTCAAAGTCTTTGGACTATGCCAATACGGCAAGTCTGTCTCTGTCGATTGATGTTGCCTACCGGACGACCATGTCGCGTTTAACGCACCTCATGTCGACAAAATTTGGGCTATTCACGCACCTGGCTGCTATTAAGAAGTATATGCTTCTGGCTCAGGGAGATTTCTTTGAACTCCTCATCGAGTCTCTGGCGCAACATCTTGATCGTCCTGTCAACTCGATGTATCGTCATAATCTAACGTCGCAGCTAGAACATGCTATCCGACACTCTAATGCCCAGTATGATGATCCTGAGGTACTGAGGCGACTGGATGCCCGTATGCTGGAGCTTTCCACCGGTGAGATCGGATGGGACTGCTTCACCCTGGAATACAAGATTAGTGCACCTTGCGATGTTGTTATCACTCAGTGGGCCAACACTCAATACCTCAAAATCTTTAACCTGCTTTGGAGGATCAAGAGAGTTGAGTTTTCTCTCAATTCGACGTGCAAACGTTGCATGACAGGCGGCCGAGGCGTGCTGGCGGCAGTCAGTGACAAGTTGGGAAATGACTGGAAGCGCTCCAGGTGCGTGGTTGCAGAAATGGTACATTTTGTCAATCAACTGCAATACTACCTTCTATTTGAAGTGATCGAAGCAAGTTGGGAGAAGCTGCAAGAGGCCCTTCATAAGCCAGAGGCTACGCTTGATGATCTGATCGAAGCTCACACCACTTATCTCAACAATATTACGAAGAAAGGTCTCATCGGTCAGCAAAGACATCCGGTCACTGGCCAGCAGGAAGATAGCCTGGTCGTCCAAGTCCATCACATTTTGAAATGCATGCTCGGCTACCGTGAAGTCATCGATTCGCTGTACTCCTACAGTGTTGCCGAATACACCAGAAGGCAACAATTCAGTGCGAAGATCGAACAACGAACCGCGCAGGGAAGATGGGGCATCACTGAGAGGGATATTGTGGGCGATTCGAGAGCAAGCACACCAACTGCGACGGCAGGAAGGAGGCCGTTCAAAGGGGCACAGCTGCTGCCCGAAGACAGTGACTCTCCTGCGCCGCCAATCACAAACTTTGGCATAACGGACGATGAGACGCATCTCAATTCGTTGAGGTCAAGGCAGTTGAAGTTGTCTGCAGAATTCAGATCACGTCTCAGCATGTTATTGTATGATCTGGCTCACCAACCTGATGTCAATCTGCGGTTCTTGGGGGTGGTCATGAACTTCAACGAGTTCTACCAGCCTGTCAACGTTCGAAGACAACAAGCGAGACGTGCAAGAGAAAAGCGGGAATTGGAGAGAAGGACTCGTGAAGCCACCATATCTTCTGAGGGCAACATTTCGGCCGAAAGAGATCTGAATAGCTCAACGATGAAGAATTGATCAACAAGGCGTCAGCATGGGTCGCTACAACGCTTTAGCAGTCTTAGATCCATCCTCGAAATCGCCCGGCTTTTGGCGGATGCCCATGATTCACTAGAACAGGGTGCCAATACCAAGTATGAAAAACAATCCTCTGCTTGCTCTAGGGCAAATTTCTGCCTTCCAGGGCCCGTTATGTTCACCAGCTGCAACAATTGAATGCACCTCAAAGTTACTACCCATCGAGGAGGAGAGAAGCATTCAGCATAGCCACACGGTGTCCAATCATAGTATCCGGTAGTCACGCAAATCTACGGTCCGAACCTCGCATTGCAATGACCAAATTCAATGATTCAACACATCCCGACCGATAGGATACATTGTGTTCATATTCGTCAATTTGTTGGGAAAGTAAGAAGAGTGCGCAGCTCGGCTGAGCAAAACATATCAGTTTCCAGCCTAGCATTCTCTCAGATACGGATCGTGCTGTATCACAACCCTCCAGAGTCCCAGTCCAGTCACAGTCACAGCCACAGCCACAGCCAGGCAGGGTAGCTCGGATCCGTCGCTCATGCCACTGGCCTAATTTTGCCCTTGAACCTCAATTCGACAGCGTCCGGGTCAGTCTCTTCAAGCACGGCTCCTTCAGGAGCAGGAGGAGCCAGCTTCCAGCGCGTGGACTCGCCGATGCGCTCCGCGATCGGACGACACGGCCATTCACCGAGACGCCGGTCCCGAATAGATTGATGGATGCGCTCATTGGTCTGGGCCGGAACAAAACCTTGCGAGTTGGGAGTTCGCACTCCGGACTTAGCTGGCAAGATCCAATTGGCCACTGTCCAGAAGGTTCCTGGGACACTGTGGACGAGGTTGGAGACTCCCCAAGCAGTGCTGCTCGCCGCGGCGGGTTCGGGATACTCGACGGTTGGCCAAGGTGTCAGAGGTTGATGGGGCTTTGAGCCGGGGCCTCCCACTGCCGCCGGCCCAGAGAGCAGATATGACGACGCTGCACTCCCATCGATGTCGACAAAAGACAGAGTCTCGGTCTTATGACACTCGGCGACCATCCAACCTAGGGCGATGTCTGCCAGAGTAGAATCTTTGTCTCCGCCGCCGATGGCGTGGGTACCGCAGAACCACACCTGTTTGACATTCCCACCACCGGCTGCGGAGTCAGAACTGTCGATCCGGGAATCCCATAGCGTTGGAAGGAATGCTTCACGAGTCTCGTCGAGCGAGAGAGCGTGCAATCCATGCTTGACCCGGGGGGAGAGGGTGGTGTTGTAGAACTCAAACTCCTCGCCCCCGAACCCTGCGCCGTGGAAGCCGACCGTGTCCCAGACGCCGATGATTTCAACGCTGTCCTTGGCCCCCTCATGCAGTTCGCCACCGGCCAGTTGCTCTAGTTTCTGGATGTCGGGCTTGCTGCCTTTGTTCTCCTTGCGGTAGTATTCCTGATACACGGCTCCGAAGCGGTCCATGCCCTTCTTGGTCAGCAGGCCAAGGGTGGTGACCAGCCCTGCGACGGCTCGCGCTGTGTATGCGCCGCGCGAGTATCCGAAGAAATAAATCTGGTCGCCGGGATTAAAGTTATGCGCGAGGAAGCCGTACGCGGCCCGCACATCGGCAGACACTCCAGCACCATAGACTCCTACTCGTTGTTGGTAATCAGTCAAACAGTTCCAGTGACGATGATCAAGCGAGGAAATGACCGAGTCACTCTGCCAGACACTCGAGTCCAGGCAAGAGCATAGAAACAGGATTCTCCCCCCAGAGGGACATGCCAGACCAAGTTTGGAGAGAAACGAGAAATCTTTATTTACCTCCCGTCAACTTATCAGTCAGATTTCCAGTCCCCACGCCAGGCTGATAGTAAATAATCTGAGGGACCTTCTGCCCATCTCTGTCTCCGAACTGGCTCAGTGCTCGAGAAAAGCGCGTCACATTGGTGGGATAGCTGAATGCCTCACCACTGAGGGAGTTCTGCCAGGTGCCTAGGGGGTTGTACCTGTTAGCCCTACACAGTTGTGTACATATATCAATGACATGGATGGCCGAGCAGCAGCATCTTTTTGGTGGTCTCTTGGTCTTTTCCTCTTCACTCACCATCGCAGAGAACAATCAGACGCTTGGGCGTCGCTGTGGAGGGAGCCATTTGCTGTTGCTGCTGTGGCGAGGCTAGCTCGACTGTTCGGGCTAGGGAACGAAGACGAACAGGAAATGTTGGACTTCAAGTTGGAGCTGGAGTCTCGCGGTAGCGGACTGCGGCTCTCATAGATTCAAGATCGGAAGGGATAGCGGCGAGAAAGAGGTCGACCACCACCCCCGGTCATGCTGGGGCCACAGACGGCTTTCATATTCACGAAGGGCGAAAAGCCAACGACGAGGGGATCCTTGCAACTCCCAACTCAACTGGCTGCCCAGAGCCAGCCAGCCGCACCTCTGAAGCGAAGCCTCCTAAGCCTCCTGAGCCATGAACCTGGAACTCCAGGTCGCAGATCCCACCCTCAGTGTGAGTGAGCACATTCTCAGCAACGCCACTTGTCGAGCTACTCGCACCTGGCTGAGGTATACGAGAAAAGGCGTCGAGCTGGACGCGCCAAGGTTGTGCCGAACAGTCAACCGTAAGACATTATTGGTACAGGGATAGGGGTCCAGGCTCTCTCGCACGCGGGGCCCTAAGACATGAAGGCAGCAAATGAGCAGTCAGCCACTGGCAGTGAGTGGTTGAACCGAGAGAAGGCGTCCCATGGCAAACTCCGACCTTGGCTTCCTGAGGGGCTGCAGCAGCTGGAATACGAAAGATCGGTCTGGGGAAATCCCTGCCGTAGGGACAGAACTAGGACTGGATAAACATTGTACTTCCAGTACAGATTGAACTTCTTGCATGACTGGATAAACACTGTACGGAGTACCTCCAGTGATTGAAATTCTTACATAACTGGCCTGAGCCTAAGAACTTGAAGTCCGAAAGTCTGGCCGGGGTGTCAAGGGCTGAGGAGGCTTCAGAACACAAGAGGGGTCAGGGAAAGGGGGCCAGGCCAATAGCACACCCTCAAATCCATCCATCCCAGATGCAATATGCATCATGCGCCGTACCTCCTGCCTCCTGCATCCTGCCTCCTCCCTTCAATAATAGGCAAAAACTGACAGTTACGAATAGTTTACGGAGTATCGTACCGTAGTGTAGTGTAGTGTAGGGGTCAGGTCAGGTCAGGTTACAGAATAGGTCAGACGACATCGACATCCCAACCAAGCCAAGGCCATCCGACATCGACATGCAGCCAGCAACCATTCAAGCGTGCTTAGATGGATTTTTCGACGTCACTGAAGTTCATGGATCATCAGCAGGCAGCCCGTCACGGTTGCCGATCCGTTGGAAGGATGTTTCTTCTCGCGCCCAGCCTAACCAACTAACTCGCGAACAGGCAGGGTAGAGTCCTGATAGAATAGATAGGAATAACTTGTTTCGGAGAGAGAAAGGGATCCCATTGGATATCAAATAACCAGCGAGAGTAGGGCTGGATTGAGACTCCGCCAGGCCCAGAAGAAATTCAACCATCCACTTGATCTACTCCTATTCTCGGAAGATGCGAGAACTATTCATTTGATCTACTCTTATTCTCGGAAGATGCTGGGGGCATAGGCTAGAAATAAGCCTCAAACCCAGCACGCATCGCTGCCAAAGGGCCTAAGGCCCCATCAGAGGTTCGTCCTATAATGTCTCAATCGTCGCCCAGGTCATTTTGGAAAGTGATAGCATCCAACCTCGTATGAGCTGGTGTCGTTGTGGACTCTTTCGGCCAGCTGTCTTTACCTGTCGCTTGACTCGGTGAATCTGTTTCCGAGTGCGAGAGAGCTTCCGTGGAAGTCGATAACGGAAGCCGCCACCTTGTTTGCTCGCACTGGCGTTCATCCGAGCTTGGGATATAGACCGGTGGAAGGGCCCTGGTGATCGAGTGCGGCGAGAAAGTGAGCCCGCTTGAGTGCGACTGGAAGGATGGACTGCCGGTAGGGTTGGAGTCGTTATTAGCTGGTAGCGTCACAGCATCGGTCCCGAATATCATATCCGTAGGTGCTTGTTCACTGAAGTCTACCCGTGCGGTCGAAGCCGTTGATGGCTGGTATAGCATGCTGGAAGACATTGAACGAGGCGTATGAGAGGATGCGAGCATTGGGGTTTGAGAAGTCAACGAGAAGGCCGATTCAGTAGGATTGCCCGTCGTTGGCTTCTCATTCTCGTGTCCCGTCAGGAGAAATGACTGGCAAGGGAATAGTCGCGAACGGGCTGCCTCCCATCTGGACCGGTGGTAAGAGATAGGACTGCAAAGGCCCTTTTCTGTGTTGGCACCTGCTTCAGTTGAAAGTTGGATCTTTGTTTGCCCTTGGCCGGCGTCGCCGATGCCTTGTCCTTTTCTGACTAGGTCACGAATATCCCTCTCACTCATCTCCGGCGAGACGGCATTGGGCCCAACGTCTCTTTTGATAGCGCTTACTAGGTCCCAACTTGAGCGAAAGATGCCGCTCGGTCCAGATGATAAGTGCCTGTCCCGTAGGACATGCATGTTGGTGAGATCTTTGCGATGGACATGCAACCAAAGGGCACATGTCCCTCCCGCCCATAGAGCGAGGAGTAAGGAAGTGATAAACAATAGAAGAAAAGAGAAGCCCCAGTTATGTGAGCGGCTATACTGGCAACTGGCACGGTCGAGGACATAGGCAAGAGAGTAAGTTTCGTTTTCGTATGTCCAGAACGTGGATTCGGAGATTTCGTTGACATCTTTCAGGACCTTTGGGGACTGCATCGAGTAATTTGCGAGGTATCCGGTCAACTTGGACAGAGAGGAAGGAGTATAAGAGGTGGTAATGTTCAGCGTAGGGGAGCTCAAGTTGTGAGCCAGTCCATTCAGAGTAAATGTACTGGCTTGTATCTGTGTCCCGTGGAGGCCATACGAGCTGACATCTGCCACACTGTTAGAGAATCCTTGGTCGAGGCTCTGTAAGACTTACATTGAACCGTCCGCCAAAACATGGTACAGTTAAACGGAACGTATTGCCAAGGCTGCTCGTCGCCTTTGCCTCCGTCGCCGTCTTCTCCCTGGTTATCTCGACGGTGGTATGACTGTGAGATGCCCTTCGAATCATCGTCCTTGAGCCCCTGCTGAGTGCAGGTTTCACCCATGGTGATAGTAACAGGTCCTGGCTCTCCCATCCGCCACGCATCGTTAATAGCAAACTGGACCACCGGAAAATTATCCCACGGCACTACTTCACCTGCGTGATTTGCTAGGACAGCATAAGAATTGCTGCTGTAACCGCTCATGGCAGCCACGAAAGTAGAGAAGCTAAGGACAAATAATGAGCTTAGGACAATCCAGACCATGATCAGCCTTGGTCGCCAGCCACGATTTGTCAGTAGTTCTCCCGCCAATCGTGCCGTCATCGTCAAATTCGGTGGGACGAATGCCAGAGATACATATGTAGTGTATGATACCGGGGCTTCCCGCATGGCCATTGCCAAGTATTGAGACGAGACCTTATAGGTAACCCAGCCTAAAAAGGCCTGCCCTGCTCGCCCAACAACAATGTCCCAAACGACATCGATGAATTTGGCCGTGGAGAAGGCCATACTTCCCCATGCGACATTGATGTAGAAGAGCCCGGATTTATCCCAAATGCTGATCGAGGGCTTATCGTAGGGGGTAAAGTGGCCCTTGAAGTCGCAGTGGGTGAAAGCGCTTGCCCAGTGTGCAGCACGGGCTCCATACCAGCTGGGGATTTTGAGCACGAGGGTGAGCGCAATGACTGGGAGGCAGAAGGCAAGGAGAACAAAGGTATAGACGAAGGTGTTCAGTTTGATACGGTTCGTCCAGAATGGTGTGCTGGATCCAGCCTCGTGAGGTGTGGGATTATGCCCCCCAGACTGTTTTACCGGCATGGCGAGGAAGTCCGTTTGAGTGCTTGCGCCCTTCTCTTGGATTTGTCGAAAAGGCCATTTCCTAGACTCCCTGCGCGACTTCGAATCCGTATAGACTGGCCCATCGAACAAGGCTGCCGTACCCTTCCTGTCAGCATTCGCAAACCCTAGCATTCTACTGCGCAGATGCAGGTACTGCTGGATGTCGTAGAACCATTGATGGGAGTTGAGATGAGTAAAGGATGGAGGGAGCTCATGTAAAACCTTCGGTTGCCGGCCTCTTATTGAGAGTCCATCCCTGCTGTAACGACGTAGGCTGACATGCATAGATATCGGACAATCCCCAGCACGCAGATTGATTGAGTAGCGGGGTCCGGACGGCCGACTGCAATCAAACCTGCCACAGGTCTACGAGTCAGGGGTGCACATAGAAGCCCAAGCTCTCAGGCAATGCTAGGCCGAGTTGATAGAGCTAAGTCAAAGAAGTTGGTAAGGACAAGGCACAAAAGCACAGCGGGCAGGGATGAAATATGCAGAAGCCTTACTCGGGCTGGAACTGACCTCTGGCCAGGACTTAGCAGAGACATGAATGGGGTCGATCTTTGAAGGGAACAGATACAATTTGCGCACAGCAAGAGAAGATACCTTGCTCTGTCACCACACCGCCGGGCAATGGCCGGTAAGACGGAGCACGGAGCTCTGGGGACGCTTCAGCTAAACAACTCTCCTGGACAGGGAGTGCAGGAAGATCCATGTCTTGCTGTCATGATGCTGGCGAGATTTATGCTAAGATGAATGGACTATTATCTTCATCGACACCGGCCGTTTCAAGGTGCCATGCACCTAATAGCCATGGAAGATGAGTGCCCTTCGTACATAGCATGTTGTAGGTTGTAGTCGAGACAAACAACCGGTGGTCCGGATTAACCTTTAACCGAAGAGTAGACGAGACCCGAATAGATGTCACGTGAGTAGTTGTCACGTGAACAATGGCATAAATACATCTGTCGGATCCCTCTGGTTGTCCTGCTCGAGTTTGGCCATGTCTGCTCATACTTGAGACTCTCGCCAACCTGTTCGTTGGACATTACTCTGCTGTGCTGTCTTGTGCTATGATATCCTGGATGCTTAGTATTCATAACCTTAACCAAACAAAGCATGGACAGACGATGCTGATGCTCACTTCCAGACGCCCTCGCTATGGTCAATCATGACTTTCAAGATCCAACCAAGCTCGCCCACAAGATCCAAGTTAATCTCGCAAGGCCGGAGCCAGGCGGTCCAGATCAAGTAGATTCTCGCGCATGCTCCTCTTCTTCAGCGTCGGCCTCTTCAAGCTCGCGTTCCAGTTCTCTGGCGAGCTCGTCATCTGAATCTTCTTCTTCTTCTTCGTCACGCTGCTGTGCCTCCTCGACTTCTTGTTGTTCTTGTTTGATTTGTTCCTCCGTCTCTCCGGCAATGGGCGTGTTCGCACCTTCCGATTCCCGCTCACTGCTGATATTTGCTACTGTCTTCAGTGCACTACCAGCTCCATTCCTTCTGGTGGTCGGCGATTTCCCAATGTCGCCGGCCGAAATGTTCCCGTCTGCGTTGTCATTTCTTCGTCTTTTGTTTGCACGACGTTCCCGAAAGCTCAAGGCAGAGCTGACAGAATCGGTATCGCTCTCACTGTCGGCCTCGCTGCCCATGAACTCCTTGAGCTCGGCATCGATATCTGCCCACTCGTCTTGATCGATCGTGATCGGACTGCCATCGTCGACGAAATCCTCAAAGTCTTCCACGTCCGCACCCTCTTGCTTACCGACATCCAATTTCAATTTCTTCCGTGCCGGCTGGTCGTCTTCGGTATCTAATCCTGTGGTCTCACCATCAGATGAACTGAGGAGAAAATCATTTGCCGCGATATCTGACTTGTCCAGATTGTCGCCAGTCTCACTTGAAGCATCTTGTTTCTGCTTGCCAACCCCTTCAAGCAAGTAGGGCTTTTCGTCCAACTTCCGCCACTGTTGCATAGATTCGATCAACCATGCAGTCCCAACAACTTTGATCCCTCGCTTCACAGCTTGTTTGACCTTGGCAGTCCCTGGTCGCGCTGCAACCACATGTGTGACACCTCGTCCCACTTTGTCGGTAATGATGGCTCCAAACGTCTTTGCCCATGTGCTGATGTCCGCATTCTGAATGTCAGTCCCAAGAGGCAGTACACCACTGAATACGATGGTGACACCACTGAGGACTCTCATCTTCATGGCCGGCATGACTCGTTTGATATCGGGTACAAGAAGCAGGTCCACAGCCGTTTTGTCTTCTTCCTCGGCGGTCGGTAAAGGTGCCTTTCGCTGACCGGCGAGGGTAGCGACACGGCCGCCTTTACCGGCAAGCCGCTTTCGGTCATACTCTGCGTAAAAGGTGGTATGCACTGCTGTGAGGCTTGCTTCAAGGTGAATCAGCTCCTCGTCGTCATTTTTCAGGATGCTGTGGCGAGCTTTGGCTTTGGGGGAAGAAATCGTTTCAGATGAGTCGGAAGAGTCGCTCGAGTCTGATTCGGTGGACTGTGACGCGGCCGGCTCTCCATTGACTGTGGATTCAGCTTCGTCCTTCTCGTCTTGCTGCAATTGCATTTTGAGCAGGGGTTTGTCTTCCAATTGTGACGTGATAAGTTCCTCTTGACCCTTGGTCTGCAATTCCCGCACCGCTGGGTCATCACCCCCACTCATGGCTAGGAGATGCTCTAGGGCGGATGTTCCATTTTGAATGGTTGATGTGCCGTCTTCAGCAATCCCATTCGAGTCTTCCTCCCCAATCTCAATCTTCTCGTCACCATCCCCCGCCAAGTCCTTGTTTTCGGGATTCGGCGTAGTCTGTATCTCCTGCTTTTTGGGCAAAAAGCTGGAATTGATGTCGCCTATGCCGACGAAAAAGTCAAATGGCCTGACACGGATCAGATTTGCACTCCATTTCCAAACATCGCCTCGGTCATCGATGATGACTACCATTTTTGTATCAACAGGAAATAGTCTTTCCAGGTTTTTGGCCACCATGCTTCCGCTCTCGTCTCGACTGAGGATGCGATCTCCAAAAATTTTGTGATCCGGGTCGACAATGGCCGCGATCTGCTGGGCATATTGACGAGTTCCCATTGTGTAGATATGCATTTCGTAAAGCTGCGAAATGTTCTCCAGGAACTCGAGCAAACCGGGTCGTAGCTTGATGTAGTACCAACAGCCACGCATACCAGGTCCATCGTCGATCAACTGAAATGAACGCACATCTTTGACAGCTTCATAGTTCGGATTATCCTTGTCTTTCTGCCATTCTGCTATCGTAGGGTCAACCGCAGCATGAATGATTGTCTGATCGAGATCGACGACCAACGAGAGTTTGCGTGCGGATAAAAGGCGGCGCTTTGCCTCTTCATCGATGCGGCCCGCCTCTTCTTTGCTGATCGTTAAATGTAGCGTGTCATGGGCCATGCGGATCGGTGCGCGATCGGCGTCCGTTGTCTCGCTGCCTGCTTGGACACTCGTTGGGGGTCAGCATCAATCCGAAAGCTAGATTGAGTTGCGAAACTTACGTTGTCATGTCTTTTCCGCAGTTGGTGCACATACCCAGGAATTGGACAGTATGCGGGCATTCTTCTTTGATCTCACATATATCTTCCCTGTGCGCATTCAGAACTCAGGCCTGACACGGACTCTCGACACACTTACGGTTGTGTAAGGACATCTCCTTCCCAGACCCGCCATCCCTTAATTATACCTTCGAGGGTGCTGGGGAAATGCGTGACAAACTTCTTTTCCACTTCTTGGTCTTCATCATCGTAACGACTGCCTTCCTTGACTTTCGTAGTGTAGGAGTAGAGGAACAGATCGTCGTTGAGGGCGACAAACTCGCCAACCCGCTTCTCTACCTTGATGATCGTGAGAGGGTAATGCAGGTTCTTGGGGAGTCGTAATAGCATTCCGAACGAGAGGCTGTTGTGATGGACATTGACTGCTGCATATAGCAGGAATCCGAGTCAAATATTGAGATGCGACGGCAGGCCCGGGTGACGATACTTGGTGACTTGCGGGCCCCAGTCAGAGCAGAGTAGTCGTCGGAGAGGAGAATAGGACCGGGACGTGAAGTAAGTGGATGAGGAATTGGAGAGGAGGGTGACTGGATTTAAGGACAAAGGGACGATTGCGGCGCGTTGTTTGTACAATCGACCTCGTATGGACAGCAATGGTTGAAGGCGGCGCAAAACAGCTTGGAGCACCCGCAGTTAGATCAGGGAGAGATCTAAGATCCAGAACGGTATTTAGGGCGCAATCGAGGTGTTAGTAGACTTTGCTGTGTTTTGGTGTGGGTAGCCCACTGCACTCAGTAGCTAGGTAAGTATGTAGGTAATAGTAGGTAGGTACGTATTATTAACGTTAACGAGCAGTCCGTACCACGCAGCGCAGTGCCGGTGACGGGGAGCAGCCGAAGCTCTTATGCTTAATGGTCGCAGCAAGCTCCTACTACACTGTAGTAGCAGCTAGCAGCCTTGGCGCCATCGACCGCCCCCGCTGTCACCGCAAGGGACAAAGAACGCATCCCTTGCTGTATGCCAGTCACGAGACTCTACATGACTCAGCGCAGACCACTACCACGCCACGGGTTGCCAAAACTCATTGTGTCAGGAGGCCGGCACACTTGGAGCCTCTTTTGGTCCGTATCGTGTTCTAGACCAATTGTCTGTGGTTAGATATCCTGCCTATGAAGTAAAGGTGTGCATGGTTACAGCATAATGTAGGCGCTGTTGGCATAGCCGGTTTGAAACCATGTGAACGCCGTGAAATCAGTCCCACATCTCAACATCGTCCACCACGCAATCATGATGCAACTTTCCAGCCTTGCAGTGGCTTCCTTCCTATCAATCGTAAGACCTGCCTACTTCGCTACGCCAGACCTCGGATTTACTTGGAGCGGCCAAGAGCAACAGCATCATTGCCCAGGTCATAGACACTGTACCACTTCCTCAAGAAGCTGCTTCATGTTAGAAGATGACCATATGTCTGAAAGTTTTGGGAGATGACTCACCTGTCACCCAGAATGGCCAACGGGCCGGTGGGAGCGGGGAAGTCCATGCCCATGAAGCTGCTGATGCAGGAGCCCTGGACCTCTAAGATATAGTCGAAAGCTGTGATGGAGAAATTATACCCGCTAAGGGTGAAGGTAACATCTGGGAGAGAGTCACGCTTGTCGCATTCCACCGTGTACTGGCCGTTGAATCCCTTCTTTGCACCAATCTCCTTGTTGAGCAGCTCGGCAAGTGTGGACGGAAGAGCAATCAAGGAAGTGCCGGTGTCAAGGATGACGCCAGTGCTATCAAGTTCAGCAGTCGCTTTGCCGAAGGTGATGGCATCAAGATCGACCTCCCAGTAAGCCTTACGACGGAGGGGAATTTTGACAAGCTTTCCAGTGTAGTGGCTGCTATCAACGCCACCAAAGGTTGCCTCGGATTCGGTTCCATCATCGGTGTTGCCGAGATAGAAGGCGAAGACAGGCTCATCAATGAGCTTCTGGTCAATCATGTTGTAGAAGGGTGGGGGAATGTGGTTGACAGAAATACTATCGTAGCCCAAACCCAGGATCCCATCGAATCGCCCGAAGGCGAATGCCAGACCCGGCTCGCTGGTAGCCTCTCCGAATAGTTGATCCTTGATCGTGAGGTCTCCGATGCGAAGGATGTCTTGAGAGATGTAGCCAGCCACCTCACCAGAGCCGTATCGAATACCGAACTCGGTGCCATTCTTCTTGTAGGTCTTGGAGGCAGAGGAATCATATTTCTGGTGGAGGTAGCAGGCGATCGAGCCACAGGACGTACTGGGGACCCAGAGGTTGGAGCTGCCGGTATCGAGGACCACCTTGAATTCCTGTGGAGGTGTTCCAATTGCAATGGTGCTGAAGTCTGCTCAGGGTCAGCCGAGATCGTCCATATCGACGTAGTGAGTTCTCTTACATTGTGCATTCAGGAAATTCTCCACCGGAACCTCATGAGGGCTGTCAATGTCGATGGATGTATGCCTGAAGATGTCCTCGGCCGGGCCTCCCAGTGTCTTCTGGGTGTACTTATGGCGGAGGGCTCGCAAGTGGTCGCCAATGTTTGCAGCGCTCTGTCCATCGAAGTCAGAAAGGGTATCAAGGGTATCGACAGCAGAGGACGACGGTTGCACATACCAATTGCTGCTCCAACGGAACCTTCTGGAGCTTCATGCGATGCATGCCAGCGTTGGCAGCACCGAGCAGCGTAGCGGCTGCGACGATGAGATTGCTCTTCATACTTGCAACCACCAAACGCTATGCAGGAAGAAAGTAGCAGATGAACACAAGCTGCCTAGAGATGCAGCGGATGATGGTCTGTTGATAGGAGGATGGCAGAATGACAGATAGAAGGGTAGTGATGATGATGCCTAGTAGGTGGATTAGGTAGGTAGGTTGGTGGCTGGACTGGTTCGGGGGATGCAGCGGCTTGTGCCCTTCAATGGCCCGTGACCTGACCCTTCCTCTTCCGTCACTGCAGGCTGAAGGAATAATGACGAAGCAGACCTGTGACATACTAGCACTCCATCCTACTCCAGGCACCCGCCAATCCACAAGTACTCCGGGCACTGTGTACGGAGTACCTAGGTATAATAACCCCCGACTCCGGCAGCGTTAAGGCCCAAGTGGGTTATAATAGTAGGCACCTAGGCCTCAGTTTTGGTTGCCGCGCAACCCACTTTTTAGGGCTAGTTTACCAGTTGACACTGCACTTATTGCACTACCTAGCCACTATTGAGGCAAACCATCTATAATATGGTGATACATTTCATACACCAACGTGCACTCACTTTGTCCACGCCATTCCATAAGATCCATCTTACTAACCTTATGGAAGGTATCCTGATCTAATATTAGCATTTTTTCTGTTTCAAAATGATCATCGGCGAGGATTGTCCTTCCTAATCTGTCCACTTGAGCCTGCCATCTATCTCCCTACGAGACCTCAGTCTGCGCTGTCAACGTCGGTGCTATCGCTGTCTGTATCATCGTCGCTACTGCCACTACTGGAAGTCTCCTCTTCGGCCTGGCGCTGCTGCCTGACCTCTCCATCACTGTCTTCACTGTCTGTGTCGCTGTCACTGGAGCTGGAACTGGAGCTGTCGTAGTCGACAACCGCAGTCCTGTTTTTCCTTTTCTTCTCCCTGTGTGTCTGCTTGCCATCACCATTGGTGTACCCGTCCCCCAGTCCGCCCTTGGGGTCGGAGGGTTGTATGCCATTTGTTACGACTGATCGATCGTCAAATCCCAAGCTCCAGAGTAACAATTGAGCTCGCGACTTCTGCCGAATCCAGGCTACGTATTCTTCGCCGCCTTCGCCGCCCCCAGGCCCAGAGCTGAACTCAAGGTCCTTACGAAATCGCTGGGAGAACTCTTCATCATGGAGTTGGCCTCTGTCCTCATGTGAGGCATTGACTTCACGTCGAGCCTCTTCCTCCTTTCGTAAAATATCCAGACACTGTGCTCGCAGCCTGTCACGGGCACCAGAGCCCTGTAGCCCGTGGATATACTTCGCCAATGCGATATCGTACTCTCTCGGGATGTCGTCCTCGGTGAACGCATGCTTCAGGATCCAGGTCTCTCGGTTCTTGTTGAACTTCCAAATCGTGCGATTTGTGTGGTATTGGTTGAGGTAGTCAAGTGAAGCATTTAATCTCTGTGCCGGAACGTGTTGAAGCATCTGTTTCGACTTCGATTTTGGCTTCTTTTTATTGGCTAGGTGTTCATTAAGCTTAGAGTCTTCCTCTGGCGACGAAGCTGCTGGCGACGAGGAAATGGGCTTCGTGTCGGCAGAGAAAGACACTCGTTTCTTCGGTTTCTTGGGCCGACGTGCTTCCTCTATTGCCTGATCTGTCCGAGAGGTATTGGTATTGCCCACGGTATCTGTGGGATGGCCATTTGTTTCAGGACCAACTCTTCGTTTCTTCTTTGGCGGTTCTGCTGAAGAAGATTGGAGCTCTCCTGGTCTAGCGAGGATGTCATCTTGATTGCTGTTGGATGTCGCTGTGAGCTCCGGAGATTCTTTTGCATATTTCAGTTTTAGTCCAATTCTCTTCCAAGCGGGAACTCCAGCTTGCTGCATGGCCGCGTGCTGAGCTGAGACTATCGATCGACAGCTAGTGTGAAATGAAATTCAATAATAGGGTCCGATTGAAAGAGAGATCAAACTAAAGACAGAGGAATAGACAAGAAGATTCATGACCACTGAGAATTCAGATGTCGACCATACCAGACATTTACCGGAGGAACTTTTCTCTGAGCCACACATTGGTGGCGGTGCAAGGCTCTCGGGATTTAGTAGTACTGTGGCGCTCCATGACATTCGTGCTCCAACCTACCTTAGCGCAGGCACCGTGAACTTGCGCGTTGACAACCTCCAAAGGTGTACTCCGTACGTTCACTCCCAATCTGCCCATTCGCAAACACAACAGCCACGCCTTCTCACAACTCTTTAAGTCAGGGCTCCATTCTTCAAGAGATTTGTTCCGGTTATAAAACAACACAGTTGGTGCAAACTGCCTCAGTTGAAGGACATTCAAGATGTCAGGTTCGTACTTTCAGGTCATTGCAGCTGCATCGGCAACTCCGAGCTGACCACAGTCGCCTTATCAGGGAGCGCGGGCTATGACCGACACATTACTATCTTCTCAGACCAGGGCCGGTTATATCAAGTTGGTACGTTCCTCATCATTCAAGACTGGAGCTGGAATTTCAGGCCTCTGTTTCACCCGCGTCGATGCAAAACTGCAATCGCCGCGGGAGCCTATGCACACACCTCACGCTGACTTTCAACGTGCAGAATATGCCTTCAAGGCCATCACAGCCGCCAACATAACTTCAGTAGGAGTACGCGGGAAGGATTGCGCAGTTGTTCTCTCTCAAAAGAAAGTGCCGGTAAGGAGTACAATACTAAAACTTTCCGGTTCCTCTGTTGCTCACACTCCTGCCTTAGGACAAGTTGATTGATCCCTCCTCTGTCTCTCATGTCTTCAAGATCTCGCCCTCCGTGGGATGTGTTATGACTGGCTCGATAGCAGATGCTCGGGCATCAGTCGACCGGGCTAGAGGAGAAGCGGCAGAGTTCAGATACAAGAATGGTTACGAGATGCCTTGCGATGTGTTGGCTAAACGATTGGCAAACATCAACCAAGTCTACACACAACGGGTATGGCGGCAGCAGTTTTTTGCAGAGGAGTAGGAGCTAATGGCCCAATAGGCGTACATGCGACCACTCGGCGTGGCTACAACCTTGATCTCGGTCGACGAAGAGTTCGGCCCCCAACTATACAAATGCGATCCTGCTGGGTACTATGTGGGCTACAAAGCGACGGCGTCTGGGCCTAAGCAGCAAGAGGCGCTCAATCATCTGGAGAAGAAGCTGAAGAACAAGGAACATGCTCCCGGCAGCTGGGAGGAAGTGGTGGAACTTGGAATCAGCACTCTCAGCACTGTTCTGAGCGTTGATTTCAAGAAAGGCGAATTAGAGATTGGCATCGTGGGTGGGCCCAAGAACGACGGGAGTGAAGGCACCCATAGGGATTTCAGAACCCTAACAGAGGATGAAATCGAGGACCGACTTCAAGCCATCGCGGAACGGGATTGATTTCGGACTATTTTGCAATACCGAAGGCCACTGCATGGTTGTAGCAGGAGCAATGACACATTTTCGACAACCACGCTGGACAGGGATCTTTCTATGTCCTGGCTTGACCATATCGGGAGTCGGCAGACGGCGTTCATGGGGCCTATTGGTAGGGTGGCTTTCAGCCCTCTTGTTGAGCTGATGTGGAATCATGTAGCGGAGGTCACGGTTGGATGCGGAAGGGCACAAAATTTCCTCCTTGAAGAACAGCGGCTCCCAAGCCACCACGAGCCGCTCTTGAGCGGGATCAGAGTTTGGACCGTTACTGACGTTGCAGGAGCTTGGCTCTTTCCTGCCTCACGAGCCTGGACTAGTCTGCTGTCCAAGTCGAGGCGCTGACCCAGCCGAAGACTAGACGACTGAAAAGTGGCTTACTTGTGGCTGATTGAGGCTGGGATGGAGTGGACAAATGGTAGACTGGTGTCATCGGATGCGTGGGCTGTCAGTCATGCTGGAATCGTAGCGAGGTTAGAAAACGTAAGCCACGGATGCGTAGACGGTGTGCCTCGAACGGTATGGGGGGACAGAGGTCGGAGAGGTCTTGCCCACGATTGGTTGGGTCCCTAGTGTTTCCAACTGTCTGACACGAAGTGATCCCTGTGCCACGCAGAAACCAAGTGGATAAAACTATGACTATGGTCTGGAGACGGGAAGAAGACACTCAGCTGCAGTGCGATGCCGTTGCAGGCCAGGATCAATTCCCGTGCGCTTCGCTTGTTCCTGCGCCCGTAGAGCGCGAAGGCTGCAGAGCACCGGCACCCGCAGGTCTCAGCTGTCCACATTCGGTTAGACTGGTCGTTTGTCTGAGGGGTTTGCCGGCTCGGACCAGCCCAATCGGGTGTAGTGGCCAGCCAGATGCAATCTAGTTCGCTGCCATGCCAGATCGAGGCCTACTTAAATCCCTCTCTGAAGGCCTCTGATTGGATACCAGGCAACTCTAAATTCATGGTTATTCAGCCTAAGGGGGACTTGGTCCACGCCAGTCAACAAACACCTACCGCATTCATCATTTCTCCCATGGCGGTGTCAACGGCCCTACAGGGAACTGTGAGAGAAGAGGACTAATGCGAGATATCCACCGACCCATCGACACGCACATGGCCATATGCCAGGGTCTCGTCTCTGACTGCCACTGCCATCCATCCTGCAACTATTTTCTGCATGTTTCCCTTGGTAGGGGCCCCGGGAACTCATCACGGACCAGTGACCATACTGCCGCGACCTTCTGTGGCTTGCAAGTCTCCTGCTGATCACTCACAGCAGAGCCTCGATAGATCCACCGCCAGAGCTGCAGCACGCCGACATGTTGGGCAATGGCGGCACCGCCCAATGGTGCTGGTGCTCCTGCTGCGTGACTCCAAGCCCCTGCTGCCCCTTCACAGCCCGTGTCATCTTCGTCGCGCCAATGTGGACCATTTTTCTGGCTCATTGACCTCCAGGTGATGTTGTTCTGCAAATTTCGACCTCCAGCCTCAGCATCACTTACCTCTTTCCATCATCATCTATCTCGCAGCTGGACGACTTGTTCCTTTTCGTCGTGACGCTACGGCCCGGGCCCATCTCGTTGAGACCCCTTTCACTTTCCTGACTGGTCAGATGTCAGGAAAGCCACGAGGTTGAGGCTTCGAGAGTGACCGTCGCTACCATCATCATCCTTACTGCGCCCCTGTCTACCCAGCAGTATCCTGTGTCCCTCTGCAATATCTTCGCATGGGCTTTGTCTTTAAGAATGCTTCCCTCACCGCGTCCGGAGATCCTTCTTTCTCCTCAGGACTCACACAGACCCCAACCTGACCTTAAGGCTGAGCCAACGGTCAGAGGCCCCAGATCGATCGAGCGAAGGCCAGCTGCCACGTGAAAAGGAAGATTCGAACGCACGATAACATACAACGGGCGCCGTGCTTGGAGGTGCAGCTTGACCTCGATCCCATACCGCCAAACTCGAGCGCATCAACTCTCGCAATGGCTGATGGACGTGCGTCTGACAGTAACACCTCGCCTCCATGATGCGAGCTTTGTGGGCAAGACCGTATTCGCTGACAATTCTATCTGCAGGGAACGAGGCTCGCGCGATCCGGATCCTGGAGATCATGAACGACTTCCGCACCTTGCAGGTCCACATCTCGTCCCTGATTACACGCACTGAGGCGACCCCTCCAGATGAGCAATCCTACTATCTTGACGGCTATGTGGTCTTGAGACAATGCGCCGCTGAGTCGCAAGCTATTCTGGCTACCCTCTATAACCCGGGGAATTTGGGGCTTCAGTCTGGACACATCCCGGAGACCGAAGTCCAGAAGGCAACACTGCAGAGGTGCGGCACAGCTTGACTGAGAGAATTCCTCGCCTCAAGATTCTAACATGGCCCGCAGAATCATCCTCGATGCTTCGACAAGAAGACTGCAAGCACACAAAATATACCTCCGGGCTTCGGCTGCTATGCGATGGGTGCAGATGCGGGCGCAACTGTTGCGAGGCGAGAAACCAAGCCAAAGACATGTCAACGGGCTACGGGCGATTGATCAAAGACTGCGAGAGGTATTTTCTGCCCGAAACTCCATCCACAATTGTCACCACTTCCGCACAATTTCCCCCAGGTTCCCTACTCGCCATGTGGTTCTTGGAAAGTCAAGACGAAAGTGACGCACCATGCGTGTGGGCGGACATTATTCGAAGACTACCACTATTCATACTGACATTAGGCTACACAGGAACTCAACCAGATCACCGACGAACACGTTGTTAACGACTTGCACACTGCGGACCGCCGCATGGGGTACTGGCTTGACGAAGATCCAACCCTGGAACGAATGTTGACGTGGATTCGAATGCAGCGATGATGGGGCTTGTCAGATTGTGGCTACTGCTTCTCTGCTCCTTACTGTCGTTGTTTACGAAGTGTGATTCGATTTCTCGAGATTTGATCAAGCCAACCTTTTCGATCATGATTGACTTATGTTCGCAATGGGTATTACTGAAAGGCATCTTGACGCGGAGTCTTTGGCTCGGACCGCAGGCGGTCTGCGTCAGAGCACTTGTTCGGTCCCTTTCTTGCTACCGGGTTTGACGTAAAAGCGGACTAATATGCTGGATGATGAATGCTGGATGCTGGATGCTGGATTGGGATCGGTTAGAAAACGCAGGGAGACTGGTTTTGGTTGTTGGTTCTTTTCTTTTTTCTTTTTGGTCCTTCGCACCTGGGACCTCGCTTCTACGACGGCTGCATGACGCTATGAGGAAATCGGACAGGATCAAGATAGGGCAGACAGGACCGGTTTATTATGGGGCAAGATCAAGCGAAACAGAAGCGATGAGAACTCCTCTAGGCTCTAGGAGCATGAGCACCTTAGCCTAACGCGGCATTTGGTTCGCTTGATTATCCAATTTCCGCCCCCTCTTTCTAGTACATCTGTGAACGAACTTTGAAGAGTGAATGTGAGCGTGAGCGTTCGCCAAAGCTTGCCCAGCCCCAAGCTGAACGAAGATCAAAAGCGGTTTGTTCGAATCGATTCGGGCCTAGTGGTCTGTCGGGGCGTCCGAGGTGGGAAGACTTTTTGGACGGAAAGAGGGGCCCCCGTCTTTCAAACTCGGCTGTTTAATTTCATCAGCGCATCATGCAGCTGGTGGTGGTGGTGGTGGCATGATCTCGAGAGGTGGCTGCATCAGTATCAGTACGAATGCAGTATGGAGGACAGTGCTAGGCATGTGAGGCTGGTTCTGCGGCGCAGCGCGAACACTCTCACTCTCTCTCGTGGTGGACGAGCCATTCCAAGTTCATACTCCGTACTCTGATCCAAGCATAGCCGTTACCGTGGCTATGAAGTCAAGCCGAGTGGGCATGCAGTAATTGGGTACCTAGGGATGGGAATTCTCTCCCTCTCTCGCAAGCCTGTCTGTTTTGGGCAACGCCATCCGTTCTGACGTTCTGGACTCGATTCGGTGGGACCTAAGGACCCCGGTCCAAACCTCCAAACGCGATTGGCCCCCACCACTGCAGACCTCGACTTAGGTATGGTTCTGGTTTTGGTATGGAGTATGGAGGACTGGTACTGGTAGGGCGGACTCGCTTCGGCTTGGATCTCTCAGCTTATTACTTACAGTAGTCTGAGTACTAACTACTACAGAGTATGGAGGTCGTGCTCTTGGCCTACCTAGGTACGCGGCCCAGAGGCCAATCCAGTACCAGTATCCGTACCGACACAAGTGTTGGACCTGGATCTAGGAGCCATGCGTGGCCCTGGCCCTGGCCCCCAAGTGCAGTGGGTGCGCACCACTTTACTGACGCTGCATGAAGTACATGTATGAAGCAGCATGATTCGTACCTTGGATTGGCTTGGCTGGACGGAATCAACTTCCTTCGAACCCGTTCACCACCACTACCACCACTACCACCACCACCGTACATACTGCCTACTACCTAGGGAATACTAACTACTAACTACAAGGTTAGGTAAGGCAATTACTACGGTCTACCTATTCCTAAGCTACCACGTACTCGTAGCAGAACTTGGTATTTTTTCCTTTTCCTTCCCTTTCCCTCGGACTCTCTCAAGAGAAACCACCACCCCACAACCCACAACCCACAACCTGCTCCGTATTCACCTCTGTATCCTTACTTAATACACACTAGGTAAGTAGGTAGGTACTCGAGTCCCCGGGGTGTAATAGTACTGGGCTCCGGTACCGGCTCCGGTACTATCCAGCACCCTACCTGGGTAACTAAGCCTGATAGTAAGGTAAGGCAGGTAGCTAAGCTTGATGATAAGGTAAGGTAGGCACCTAGTAGGTACCTAAGCTAAGCTTGATGGTAAGGTAAGGTACGGAGTACGGAGTACCTTAGGTGCCTTACTCCATACATGGCGAACCAAGCCGAAATGAAGCAAATCAAGGCCAAGGCTAAGGCTGAGGCTGAAGCTGAAGCTGTGCATGTGTCCTGTCCTGTACCTGTGCGCCTGAGGCACTCCACTCTCGCGGGTCTAAACAACAACCGCAGTAAATAAAATACTGGTCCGAAGCAAAAGTCCCACCGCGGTGACGGGATGCTTCGCCGACTCTCGACTCAGCCCACGCGTCTGTTGCGTGGAGGACCAATAGAGGTACAGATTCTCGACTCAGCCTACACGTCTGTCGCGTAAAGGACCGATATGCGTACAGATACGGAGTACGGAGAGGTAGGTACTCTAGCTCCAGTCCGGAGCACGGAGCATACTGCATACGGGAGTACATACGTACGGATACTGTGAATCCGAAGGTAGGCATCCATACCTACAGTACAGTACAGTATTCCGTATATTCTTTCTTGCTGCGCCTCTTGCGCCTGCGGCCTGCGACCGCGAACTGCGGGAACTGGCCTCGGAAAGCCAGGGTTTACCGCGACCAGCCGACCGATGCCGATGCCTGTGCCTGTGTTTGTGCCTGTGGTTGTGCCTGGACCACTTCTGTTTCTGGTCGTGCTTGGGCCTGGATGCAGTACACTGACTGCGAGTGCCCTATTTTTATCATTGTCAATGTCCATGTTAATGTCAATGTCAAGATCAACATCAAAAGTGGACGGGATACGGCCGAGGTGCCTCAGACGGGTGGTAGGCTTAGCCATAACATGGCGGAGCAGATCACGCGGGTTGGAGTGTTCGTGATGGCGCCCCTGCCGGCGTCGTCGTTATTGTTGCCGTTGCCATCATGGATCGCTTGACGGGACAAGACAAGACAAGACAAGACTACCACAGCCACTGCAGCTGACTATGGTTATGACTATGACTATGACTATGGCTATGGCTATGGCTATGACTATGACTATGACTATGACTATGACTATGACTATGACTATGACTATGACTATGACTATGACTATGACTATG